ATCTTTTCTAGCAGAGATTCAAATGTGTGGGTTCAGAAACTTCCTTGTTTCAGGCATCCCCTTGTTCACAGAACAGCTAATTTAAGTCTATTTTCTTGGCCACCTGCATAAGCTTGGGTGGTTCATAACTCCTTATTTGTCAGGGACAATGCAGACTGGAATCATGAACATGTGCAAGTAAAAGGATGCTAAAACAGGATTATGAGCATGTGTGGGTGGGAGTGGGATTCTGAGCGTGTATGTGCTAATATGAGATTATAAATGTATGAATGTAAGTGTCTGCGTGGGATTCTGAGCATACGTGTGCTAAAATGGGATTATGAGCATGTGCGAGGGCAAATGTCAGTGAGATGGAGTGGGCAAGAATGTCAGATCATCTATTCCCTAAATGAGCGTCAGCATGGGATTCTGAGCATGTGAGAGCAGGAGAGTGTCAGAATTGGATTATCAACATGCAAATATGGGAGTGCGAGTTTGAGTGCATTCTTAATCCCAGTCTCCCATTTCTCCAGTCATAATCCCATTCTCCCGCTCCTACACACTCCTACCATTGTCACCCTCAGCCCCAGCTGCACCCACTCTCCTGTATAACTTGCAACCATGCATCACATTTCCTAGGAGGGAACTATCAGAAGTAAAAGGAATCTGAGAATTGTGTGATTTCATACTGCTTCACTCTAGAGGGAATATTCAATGAAAATATCAAGAAATTAAGTTAATCATTTTTGTAAACTGAAAACCACATTCCAGCAAATAAAATTCACTTACTTGTGCCTTTTCTGGATGGAGATCATTATGCTTCCTGATATGGTGATACCAGGACAGACTCATAACTAGGGAAGGTTGTTTGGCCCAGATTCTACTGTTGGACCAGCAATTCACAACGCAGGGGCCTATTGCCTTTCACAGGAAAGTGAAGCTCCCTTCAAGTTTGTAGCAATTTCCCTGGATCGGAGCCACAATATGATCAAAAAGCCCCGAACACCACAGCAATCTTTTACACCGTGGGTGAGGGAGAGGGGTAGCTGCCCTGTCCTGTTTCCACCCCCTACCCTTTTTTTTTTAAAACATACAAGCAGAGAGGCAGAAGGACAATTTGTTCAAGACAAGCGGCAGATCAGTACGACTATGGTTCCTCTCTGATTTAAACATTAAATCAGGATGTTTTACTCACACGAAAGCATATAGCAAATGCTCCAAAACAGCGAGCCATCATCTTTGGGGGTGGGGGGAAAAAAAACCATGAAAGATTTAACAATAAACTCCTGGAATTAGCTCACATTATGAACCTCCTCTTTCAAGAGACCGCGCACGCGCAGGATGCTTATAGCCAAGAGTGTCGCAAACCTCTATTCCATCACGCAAGAGCGAATCATTGCTGTTTTGTGCAAAACAAAGGCTGCAACCAATGTGCAGTACTGTAGTACTAGGAAACCACTTAGCACTACCAGGTCTGGGCTCTCTCAAAGGGCTAAAGCCCTTTAAAAGCAGCTAACATGTTTTAGCATGTTTTAGAAGGTCTTCAAAGTTACACTAGCATTTGAGATAAATCTTAAATTTTAACTCCATTCAAAAATACCCTCCTTTCCGTTACACCTACACACCCTTTCCTATGCCCAGCACCCACAAGAAACAGGGAAACTAATTACACATAAGGAACGATGAAACTATGTAAAGTACTTGTCAGTTAAAAAAAAAAAACACCACCACAAAAAAACAAAAAAAACTAACAAGACCATTCTCTCCTGCACTTCTGCCTTAGTGTTACATTCAGCTATGGTGGGTAGGGCCCCCTCCAAGAAAAGCTCATTTAAGTTCACAGGTCCTCTGCAACAAGTAAAATATTTCCCTCCAGCTGATGGCCTTTTCAGGAAGTTTGAAAACAACCTGGATTTTCCATGATTGAGTTTTTTTGTTTTTTGTTTTTTTTTAGAGGAAAGCACTCATTCTAGGAGGAGGCATGTCAATCTGCATGTTCAGTGCTGAGCTGGGGAGAGGGAGCAGCAAAGGGGAAGAAAGAAAATAAATACAGCTGGGGTTTTCAAAGGAAAAAATAAGATCCTCAGCTCTGATTAAACTTCAAGTTGGGCATCTCACTCCCAACACCTTTGAAAATCCCAGCCAAAGACAGCCCATGTTGTTAGACAGCTGTGCACACATTCAACAATCAGATTAGGCAGTTAACAGAGTAGCTTTATACCTGCAACCTTGAGCTAACAAAGCCAAGGCAATTTGGGCATAAGAAAAAAAACAAAACAGATCCAACCCAAAGATTTTTTCCATGAAGCTTTTCGGCAAAGTTTGGTTTTATAGAGTTGAACATCTCTGCTTCTGCAAAGTGACCTCAAGCATAACAGCACGGTGCTGGTTCAGGAAATTCAAGAAGTGACCAGCAATTCCCTGCCCAAGGTGAGGAAAATGTAGAACAAACAGTTTGACCAACATTGATTTAATAACAAGGATATTGTTTAACAGGACATTTCCTCAAGAATGCCCATTTAGCTACAGTTAAGCACTTCTCCAGAGCTTAGACGCTTTTTTATGATCCATTTGGCAAAAAGGAGGGGAAAAAAAGGAAGCCAAGGAACAGTTCAGGATCAAGAAACCAGCATCTATTTTAACTGCTTTTTCCCTCCTTTTAACGAACGGCATTAATAGCAGCCAGTGCTTGGTGCTTCTACACTTGCAACATGGCCAAGAACCAGATGTACTCCCGCTGGATGCTAGCAGACATCCCAGGACTGCTACAGGAGTTCAGCTGCGTCTTGTTCACATGGGAGAAAACCATCCCAACAAACTTGGGCCAGTACTGGGGTGGAACTGGGTTTGGATCACAATAGGTTTGTCACAGATGAGCCACATGGACTGGCTTCTAAGTCTTCCACAACCAGAGTCGTGTTTAGATGAGCCTCCAAGCTTCATTCATCACAATATACAAATTAAAAAAGAAAGGTGGCAATACAGATGTTGTCACAAGAGTAGGCAAAAGCCTAGAGCAGGCAAAGTCCTATGGGTTGGTCAACAACTAGGCCATGAATCAGAGGCCGGGTAGAGATTATCAGTTCGTTACCTCACCTCTATGAAGTCTTCCCCAGAACAGCCCCCTACACACTGAAAACTAAGTGGAACGCAGCAGTGATGCTCAACAGGATCTTACGTTTATTATTGAGAAGTGATTAATGGTGAAAAGAAAGGCAACGCCCATTCCTCATTGGTTTAACAAGAAACTGAAGAAACATGTTCACTACACATTTTACAATATTTTTTTTTCCGTCCAAAATTAATTTTCCTGTAAACAAAACAAGTTTTTACCACTGTTCTCAGCTTTCAAATCAAATTAATCCAGACTTAATCTGTAATCCGTATAATGCACAAGAACAGAACATTTCTTAGGACTCCTAGTATTTGACTTTTGAGTAACAAAGGGTCAGAGAAAACAAACCATCCCTTAGACATGACTGTTGACAATTTCTGTTCAATTCTTCTACGCAAAACAACGCCCCCCCCACCCCTCAAATTCTTCATAAAAATTCCTCTTCTTCCAGTCCAGGGGGGAAAAAAAAATAGATATTCCACTTGCAGCGGTGGAGGTCCAAAAAAAGTCACAACTCGGGGTTCCAAGTGCAAATGTCAAAACCAGGGGGGCGCAAAAGGGGCTGGCAGGAAGGGAGGCGGCAGAATTTAAAAATTAGAGAAAAAAAGGCATGCGCCTCTTATGGACTTTAAAATCCAGAAAACATAGTAAAAAGACAAAAAACAAAGCGTATGCTCCAAAATCACAACCAAAGCCAAAAGAAAGGGGACAGTGTTTATCTCTACTCTAGCTAGAAGGGATTTTTTTTTTCGTAGTTTTTGTTTTTTTTAGTCCTATGCCTCTGGTGAAACTCCAAGACCTTCTTCTGTTTTGTTTTTTTTAAACTGCAAGTTTGTAAGAGTCTTTTTTTTCTTTTTGTTTTGTTTTTTTGAAGTCAATGAAATTAAGAAAAAAAAAGTCCTAATTCTCTCTGCAGTATATATTTTTTTCTTCTCTCTGAAAGATATCCCGAATGCAACCTCTGCTGCAGTCTCTGGGGGAGGGAGAGCCTTTTACTTGACGCGGCCTTGGCGTTCCTGTAGGAGGGGAAGGGATGGGGAGAAAGAAAGAAAGTTAGTCCAGAACAACCCTTCCCAATCTCTCAGAATCACGGGGGAATGGGATTTTGTTCCCCAGCATCTCCTACCTGAATATTTAGGCAGCTATCTAATTTCTGATGGAAACCACCTTTTGACACTCAGTGAACTCTTACAACATGCACAGTGCTTCACAAAGGACGAATCTGTTTTAAGAAGGCAACGGCTTACGGCCAGTGTTGTGATGCACCACGGTCACATGCAGCCTTCCAGTTCTTCCCATTTCCCCTTTGTCATGGTTGCCACCATCCCCTCTCTCTGCCTCTCCCTGACCCTCACGCCAGCAATGCCTTTTGCAGAAAGGAAGTGGTAAGGTCATACAAGTCTGATCACATGAGAAACAGCTGTGACAAATCCAGCCTGCTTTTCCAGTTTTGTGTCACCTGACAGGAGTAACAGGACCAAAACATAAGGAAAGAGAAAGAGCAGCACTGGCAAGGGGTCTTGTTCTCAGAGAGATCTGGGCCCTAGGAGATGGTGGGAAGCTAATCTGCAGAAAGCAGGTCCCCGAGACAAGTCTCCTGTTCTCAAGCCAGTCAGCAGGCTGGGAATCAATCTAGACATGAAGCAGGGAAGAGGTACAGCCCTGCCCTGCTTAAGGAAGGACTTTGATGCTGCCCTGCGTGGATTTGTGGCAAAGGCCCATTGTCAAGGGGGAGCAAGTACTCGTGTAGGTCACAGGAGGACAGAAGACAAAGTGAAAGAGGTACATGTGCCCCAGAACACTCTGCCACTGAATTGCAGTACTTGCCATCACCTAGCCCAGCCCCCGCATGTCCTGGCACCATGAAATTCGTGTCTCGCACAGATGTGCAAGTCACAGCAGAAGCTTTTGTTTCAAAGAAAGTGAATGGGATGTCAACCATGCAGCATCCACCCAGGCACCAGAACAGCAGCTTTGTGATAGCTCCGAAACCTAAAACCATTCGTCTCACTGCTCCTCACTGGAGGACCTCCCCCTCCCCTAATTCCCAATCGTTTCAAGGCTCCTCACAATCACATTCATCTCTCCGCATCCGCGAACCCAGCACCTTGCACCCTTCCCTTGACATCCTCTACCCCATATCCATGCACCATCATGGCAGAAGTCTGCAGTTGGCTGAAAACCAGAAGGCTGGTACAGAGCAGAACTGAAAGATAGCCAGGGTTGCTGTGTGGACAGGCCCGCTTTTATATTTAGCTCAACTTGAAGATGTTTCACACAGCTGCTACTAAGCTTTCCTCTCCTACCCCAGCCATACAACGCAGGAGCTCTGCTGCCAAGCTTGCTCCACAGAGGATTATGTATGCAGCAGGCAGACGTTCCCTTACATGTGCACAAGACTGCAGGATTTAGTTTTGACGCGCTATCGATATATGGAGTTATGATGGCTGATCCTTGTGCCCCACTGCTGACCACATCTCCATGCACGCCCTAGGAATCATGTGCCAAAATTCACAGAAAGCTGGAACCTCACCAGAACTATTTTGGACCCTGTTCCTTCCCTCTAGAAGCACTAAAGCACCAGCAAGGCTGGCCCACTGGCTCGCGCTGGACAATGCCAGCTCCAGATGCTTGTTACACTGGTGTCACCCTCCCCAGCATGGCACACCACAGAGTACATACAGTTCAGTAGAAAAGCACTTTTCCCCAATTTAACCACAACCAAGGAAAACCACTCTTCCACTGGGATAAGAGTGGCCATACATGCAATTAAATCAGTATAGCTTCTTGCAAAGCCAAGGGAACCTTTTCCTGCAGACAAGGCTTGTTCCTCAACCTAAAACAGTAACTGTCTCTCTCCTCTACCGCACAGACAGCAAAGCAAGCAATGCTTTAGGTTCAACACTTCTTTCCTGGGAGCATTCAACACATGGAGCATTGGCTGGGCTATGCCTAGCCACCCTCTGCCTGTGACAAAACCCTCTCTGATGCTGCACTTGCTGGCATTTCACCTTTTAGACAAAAAGCACCAGACTAAAATGCGAAGGCTGCTGAGTACACCCAGCAAGTAGCCACAAACAAGTGAAGCAGCTCTAATTCTTTTCATAGGAGAGGTCTGCTCAAGTTCAGGCAGGCTTTATGTGCCCATTTGGAGAGGGGGGGGGTGGGGAAAAAAACCCTCAGCAAAAGAGTCCCTTAATGGAGAAAGAAACTGGGCTTGATCCTAAAGAAAGCCAAATGCTTGAGGGGAAGCCACAAAACAAACTGCGGTTGCCAAGTCCTGTCCTTCTCTGCCTCCTGCTATCCAGCACACTTCGCCAAGCAAGGACAGATGGCAGCATGATGCATCTGTGCAGGAAGAAACCAAAACTGCCCGAGCTCAAGCCTTCGTCTTGGTGGTTTTAAGCCGGCTGCCAGGGCTCCACGGCACTGTCCCCCCACTTCAGGCTGGGGTGGAAGCGCCCTGGTCTGCCCCACAGATGGTGGCTGCAGTCCCTGCTGAGTCCTTCAGCCAATTAGCTGACCAGATGGACCCGCAGCAACTGGTCTAATTAGTCACATCTCCTTCCCTGCTGCGCAAGGAAAGTTACTCCAAAGACTGCAGTGTGGTTAAGAGCAGGGAGCGGGACAGACAGCAGAGAAAAAGGGAGCAAAAGGCTAAGGAACCATCACTGGGCTCAAGCCAAGAAAATCCCAGGAAAGGAAAAACAAATGCGATGCAGAAACAGGGGTGCTGGTTGTAGCCATGTTGGTTTAAGGACACAGGCAGACAAGGTTCTTTGGGTAGATGTGATATCTTTTATTACACCAACTAAGGAGTGGGAAAAATTGTTCTTTGCAAACTCTTGGGCACAAACACCCTGCAGCTTACAAAGAACAGTTTTTCCAACTCTTTAGTTGGTCTGATAACAGACATCACATGTACCCAAAGAACGCCGCCATGCAGAAATAGAGCACCCCAAAGAGCATTTCCTTCCTCCCTCACCCCACACATGTGCAACCTGCAAAAAGGGACAGACTGGAGAAACAGTAGAAGTAAACTTTACCACCTGATGTACTGCAAATCTCTTGAATTCAACGCTCAGCATAAAAACCTGAAGAAGCCCGAAGTGCTAGTGCCCCATAGACAAAGGCAAGCCTCTGTACCTGCCCAGCCCTGCTGCTTCAAAGAGCAGCCAGAGGACTTGATACCACAGGAGCTGTTCCAGCTTGCAGCCCACGAGGCCATGATAAAAGGTCCATGGGAACATGAGAGACTGCTAAAGCAGCCCCCAAAGGGCCATGGGGAGTCTCAAGAAGTGGGTAGCGTGGCACATATGGCAGGAACCAACTGGCCCTGTTCTATGTGTTTGACATATGAGGGACAAACAAAATAGCACAGCATTTCCATGTGATCAGCTTAAGCTGCATTTTCCAATAGACTTGGGTCACTCTTTGTTGATCCAACGCAGGAATAGGAGGGGGGAAAGGTCTGAGCTGTCAGTGAATGGTCGGGCCACTGCATGAGAACCCAGGAGTTTCTCAAAGACTATTCACTCCTCTGGATATCACATAGCAGTGGCCTGAAGACAGCAGGCTGGTCACAGGGCACTGCCTCATTTTGAGCCACTCAGACCCATGAGTTTTGCACACCATACTTTTCCATGTGACTGCAGGGATGTCAGATGCTTCGGAGTGACAGAGTGGGTGGCATGTGATGTTGCTGGGATGTCGTTGGTGCTACAGAAGTTGACAGATCCTCACATCAGGCTATTCTGCCTCCTTTTAGGACACAAATGGCCACATTCTTACTTGTGCAAGCGAGTCCAGCTGAGATTAATGGGAGATGTGCACTCTGCTCCACAGCAGAATTCAGACCATCTTCAACAGCTTTTGCTGGAATAACCCTTTTTTTCCCCCCCCAGCTTACAATCATTTTGTTCACTTAGTAGTGAAAAGACTTCCCACTTAGCTATGTGAGTAATGGCAGCTGGGCCCAGCAGCTACGTCCTGATTCTAGACGTGCGCTGTCAGGCTCTCCCCAGGATCAGCTTGAAGTGTGCTTATGGTCAGCACAGGGAATCCACTAAAATGGCCCCATGCTATTCTGCTTATCTGTGCAGTTCTGGAGTCTTAACGGTTTGGTTTACAAGCAAAGACAAGTCTACACCATTGTCAGTAGGAAAGGTCCAATAGCTGCAGAAGAGTGTTGCATCTTGTCCTCACAGGCCCACCAGTCAAACCTACTTCACTTAAATTACAGATTTTTTTTTTTTATGCTAGCAACAGAAATTGATTCAATGATGAGAACTGCACGCCCTCTTGTACCTGGGCTCCTGACCTTGCAAAAAAATCCATATATTTAATGTATTACTATCAAGTCTTTATTAAGACTTCTCCCCTTCTCCAACAGCAATTAAAAACCAAGTCAAAACCATGATTTAAAAAGGCCCTACATAGCTGGCCGCCAGGTAACCAGACACAGAGCCATCAGGGAGAATGTATGCTGAAGACGGACATGCAACCATGTCGTGGAAGTCTGAACCGCAAGACACTGAAAAGCACTCTCCTCTGGCAAGCTTCAACTGGCACCATGGAAAAAAAAGGGGAGGTAGGACTCTTCAACTGATGCAAAATGCAGAGAACATGATGGTATTTTAATACCAGACCAAGTTTGCAAGAAGTCCTGGCAATTTGCAAGTTCTGGCTTCCTCTTAACAGACAACATCACTTAAGGTTTTCTTAGGTTGCCTTTTACTCTGACATTTAGCAAAGAAACAGATAAGAAGTCATGCAGAGAAAACAGGGAAGAGAAAAATGCCAACAAAGAAGTTTGGCTGTAGTCAAATCTTCATTAGTTTATAAATGTATACAGCATCAATTGCTCCAGTAGCTTGGTATTTTACCATCAAACCACCAGCTTTGAGGGGGGATGAGAAGTGAGGAGGGATGGATAAAGGGGATGTTAGAAGGGGTGTCCCAGAAGTCCTAGGACTGAGCTTCTGCATCTGCAGTGGTAGTCACATGCAGTCAGATG